AAGAAATGGATGATGGTGTCAAGATGCTTGAACTGGTGGTAGAAGCTTATTGACAGGTATCCTGAGGAGGCTTGGGATATTTTGTCAGCAAAAAGTGGCTGTGTTAGAACAATTTATCATTTCAAATTTTTATTATAACTACTTAAAGTGCTAATCCATGTGTGACAAATTACTCAGCTGAGTAAGAAAATTGCCAGTTCTGTTCCATTAACAGCCACTGGCCAGAGGAACAATGTTCCTGTAGGTTAAAACAACAATTAAGGGGCCCTTAACACATCAAGTTGGGGAGAGAGTGGATACTGGTAGCAAAGTGTTTTTCACACATTGCTAAGTTGCTTCAATGCATAAATTAATTCTTAGTTTAGTTACATCAGTCAAGTATGTTGTGCATAGGCATGACTGCTCTGTGTGTGTGTGTGTGTGTGTGTGTGTGTGTGAACCAAAACCTGAGCCTGTTGATTTATGAGAAAGGGTAAGAGGTTGAAATTAGTAAGCAAAGCCAAGCACCACCTTTGCAGGAAGGAATATCAAACAGTCTTTTAGACAGCTGCTCAGTTACGATTACTGGTATTACACCTGAGGTCTTTGCATTACAGTAGATTGTTCATTATGCAATTTTTTTCATAACCAAATTGCTCAAACTCCATTCTACTACTCCTGGAAAAGGAGTGGTTTGTACAGTGGGAGAGCAAGATGCACAATGGTTCTATTAAATAACCAGCATACTTTACTGTAGTATAGTTAGAAAATGGAGTTATGGGCTTTTAAATATTGTTAGTCATAGATAATTTTAATATGAGTTTTAATAGAATCATAATAATAATAATGATGCAAGTTTTTGTCCTTAATAGGAGAATGTTTTTGGTATATAGTATTGGGAGAGGGAGCTGTAGTATACAGAGTGTGGTACAGTATGGTCATATGCCTGCCAGTAGTTTTGACAGCCTGGATTATAGAAAGAATGTACCATAGACAGGGCTTTTGGTAAGTCTTGAGTGTAATGAAGGGTAACCTGGAAATATAACTTTTTCATGTGAGTAAATGGTGCTGTAAAATTGGCCAGCCCCTTAAGATCTTTTAATGAGCAGAGTTTACAGAAATAATTTGAAAAAAAAAATTCTGAAATCTAATATATGTGATAATGGAGAAATAAAAGCTGTAATAGTGCATTTAGAATGTATTTTTTATTACTCTACGTTCATTTCTGACATAACTGGTTTTAGTGAGCCACTTGAATGATCTTGGTTGCTATGAAGTTTTAATAGCTAACACTTGGAAAGCCTTGTAGTTTAAACAAATGTCAACTTCAAAATCACATTCCTTCCTTAAGAAACTATCCCAAATTTGGTGTGTCTTTTTTTTTTTTTTTGAAGTGAAAGAATGTTAGGAGGCAAGGTTATGGAAGTTCCTGTAAAGTGGTGGCTTTTTTTAGATGGGATCTTAGGATTGTGTCACAAAATTTTTACTATATAAAGTATTTCATCTTCCTCCTTTATAATGCTATTGAGCTCACTTCAGAGCACTAGCTCTTTTCTTCATGCATGACTTGAAAGAAATCCATGTTTTATTTTAGTTGATTAAAAAAAAGGATGAAAGAGAAACATGGGCCTTAATGTACATTCTTATATGGGGAAAAAGCTAATAGAAAGGAGGGATTTTTGGAAAACCAGAGGTTTGAATCTGGACTTATGATTTAGATCTTTCTTTCATGACAATATGCATTCACAGAATGCCTTGCTAAACCTGATAACCTTTTGGAAAACAAAAGACTATTGGGAAAAACAGCGTTGGATGTAGAGATGATAGGTTCTTATGCTTTGAACTCTTATCTATTATGTCTGACTGATAACTTTTTTTTTAGGAGCTGCCCCAGAAATGTCTGCAAACACTTTGGGTTGCATTGAAAATAAAAAAGCTCGAGTGTTTTACTAGTTCTGGTCCCAAGTCAGGTAGTCTCAAAAACGTAAAAACTGCAGTGGAGAGTTAGCGAAACTTTTTGGGATGAAAAAATTGGCCAATGTTTTAAGAACTTCTAATGAAAGGAATTAAGGCAGAAGGGCTTTTGTAGGCTGTGGGTTGAGATGCTGTTTCAAAGCTGCTAGGCCTGCCTTTTGCATTCTCACCTCTAACAGTATATTGTTCCCTACTTTAGCCTCAGTAAGGTTATTTGTCAGATCTAGACATGAGATAGGTAAAATTCAGCCTAAATGAAATGTGCAACTTTCTTTTACCTCTCCTTGATGTAAGATTGTTGAGGGTGGAGGGAAGTAAAAAGGAGCATTTTCAATCTTTCTTGATTAAAAAAAAAAAAAAAAAAATTAACCTGATGAAATTAAGGCAACATTAGGTGAGACTTCATGTCACTGTAACTTGAGTCAGGTAATGAATCAGAAAATTCAGTTCTTTTGCATGGAAGAGTGTATATGAGTACACCGAATTGTTTTACTGGTTGTGCAAGCACCAGCTTGCACCAGCTTGCCTGAAAGGTAGATTGGAGAGTCCAGCCAATTCTCAGCCATCTGCAGACTATTAGGTTGTTCCCTAGTGTGATGTGTATATGAAATATTTCTAAATATATAATATAAATAATAAATATCTAAGAATTGTTAAAAAGTAGAGAAATCCAACAGAGAGATATTCAGGTTTTGTTTGAATTGTCTTCTTTCATGTATCTTTTCCATAGCATGATTCATCTTTTGCTTCATTTTGCATAATGCTGATTGTAAGGTCAAAGTATGTAATCAATGACTGAAAAAAAGGTTGCCTGCATCCCCAAGAGATTGAGAACGTGCCTGTTAGAAGTTTCAAAATAACATCTTTTCTGAAAAAAACACCTTTTTTAGGGAATAATGAGATGGGCTTTTCCAAAATAGTACAGTTATGGGTTTTGACAGTCTACTAGTTTGAATAAATTACATCTTCTAACTGCTCATCAGAGTGAGTTCTTATATAACTAAAACCTAACATCCTTAAATATTTCATAGGCACTGTTGTATCTGTCCATGTCTTGGAATTGTGTGACTGACTTTTCACACCTGTATAGGATGCTGCTCCCCGTCCAGAGAGATTACTTGATGTAGTGAAGCTGACATTTTCCCTGAATTCAGGAGAAATGCAGGGCAGCAATCAGGGTTATTTTTTTGGAGGTAAATACTGCTTGCATTTACTTATGTCTCCCTTGTGTTAACAAATGCAATTTCTTTAATAAATTCTTCAGTGAAGTATCGGGGGAAAAACCCCAGACTTTTGCTTGTTAATGTTTTCAGTGTTTTTATGTGTTAGAAATTATTGTGACATTGAATTTCAATACTATTTCAACATGATTTCAATAAAATTAGTTGTTATAATTGTTTCAGCCAAGACAATGATCTACAAATTGGAAAATAACTATTGTCTTCTGACTCGTTTGATGATGATGCTAAGTGGGAATTATACGTTTGAAACACTGAGGCCTTCACAAGCCTTTATAGCCTAGATATTGAACTTTTGTCTTACAATCAAGAGAAAAATGAAACCTTTTGAGAATGATAATGACACCCTGCATGGAAATATATCAGTGACAAAAATTTTTCCACTGTCATGCTTCATGGCCAGATAATGTCACAAAGTCCCGTCTTTCCCATATACCTCTTATTTTGAAAAGAATAAACCATGTGTGTGTAATATAACTGCATTTTGCTTGTGACTTAGTGTATTAGCTGTGTTTCTAGTACTTCTCCTGATCTGTAACATACTTTTGCATTACTTCTATTGCCATGAAGAAACTTAGGAGGGAAAAAATTACATATAGTGATTGAGAGATTCCAATTATTACTACTCCACTTACTGAGTTTTACAGCCAACCATCTCATTAATAAACCCGTTTATTACTAATAAATGAGCAGAGATTGGTAATGTCTGCAGGAAGTTCATCGCACACTCTAAAACTGGGCATTAGTGCATCTGGTAGTCATTCCAGTTATCAGTCGGACATAATAGATCCATTAACACTCACAGCAGCCTACAAAATAAGATATTTGCAGAGATTTTCTCCTTTCTGAAGGCCAAGTACAACACTTAACAAGGTTTCTTGAGCAGTGCACAGTGCATGATTGTGTTACAGGGATGGTGCACATAAGATTGTCTTTCATCTATTGCCATCACTAATACAAATAATTGCCTTGTTTTTAAAGTGAAAGAAACATAATACTGGTACCTGAATGAACTGTTATGCTGTTAATAATTTTAAAAATGTAAAAATCAGATATAAAAAAATGCTTTTTAAGGTGCCTGATACCTTTATGTAAAGGCAATTTTTTTTTTTTATTTAGGGATTTATGTGTTGGAAGAACCTATAAGCAATGCTTATGTAACAGTGCTTAGACTTACACATCAGCCAGCTGGTATAGCCAGATCTTCAGTTTTTGTCTTTTTTTTTTTTTTTTTTTTAAACTTTTTGGAGGTATTTGTGAGTAGCTTGATGTTTTTGACATCTGTGTGACAGCTTCTTGCATAAGAGATGAGCAGTGTGTTATACCACCCAGCTGTGTGTATTAGTCTGTACATCAAGCTGAAGAGCGGCACTTAGCCAGATCTGACAATCAAATGTGAACTAGTACTACCTATACACAAGAGTGCATTTTAATGTTGTGTGCTTTTTGCCAGGAGGCTGGTACTTGACAAAGAAATTGTCAGGATCTCTCTTCTTCCCACCTTTCCCCCCCCCCCCC